GGATGCAGCAGTCGGGATCGACAGGCAAAATCGAATTAACCCCGAGTAGAGCGAGCCATCTCATGCCCGGCAATCATCAATGATTCATGCCACGATGCCAGGAGCACGAAGACATCAACGCCGAGACGGCGAATATCTCCACCCACATGCTGATGAGTGCCGAGCAAACAAACAAGTATAACCCGTAAAAACTAAGTTTTTCACTATAAATCCTTTATATGCGTGGCGGCTAGAGTCCTCTCGTCCTCTGGCTTGAGATGGCTGCCACCTATGGGTCAAATGATTGTATGCCAGTATTAAGCAATTGGTAATTAAATATTTAATTTGTTTTCCCTAAACAGTGTAAAATTTTTGAAAAAAAATTTCACGAACATTAATTGTCTCGCACAACGAGTCTGTGTGCAAAATGTCAGCTCGATTGGATCACGGGAAGTGGGTTAAAAAACGACCGAAAGGTTTGCACGGTCGTAAGCAAGCAAGCAAGCGAACTTAATATAAAGGATTTTAAAAAAACCGATGCTCCTTCACTGATTTTTTTGTTCATGTGAATTTTTAAAAATTTCTATAAAAATAAAAGTTCGTTGTGTTTGCTTAGAGATGGCGCGAACGTGATTGTGTCGTACACCCACCACCACTCTAATACATATATACACACACACACACATATACAAAGACAAAAATGAAGATCCCCCGTATAGCCTTAACAGACTGTAGGGGCAAGTGCTGTTAGCGAGCATCTATGAAGGCCGGAACGGTACACGAGGGGGTGGGTGGCCAGCACCACGCCCGACCGCCTTTGTCTCCCCAGTGGCGATGTTTACACACCGCACCGGGTACTCATTTCAGGCTGAGTCGACCTAGGGGAGGCCCAGGACCGGTTCAGATAATGGTCACTGGTGTTGGCCGTGAGCAGGGAATCGAACCCGAGTCGCCAGATTCATAGCGCAGCGCGCTAACCACTACACCACCGCTCCCCTCACACATATACACACACATATACACACACTCTAATACATATGCATATACACATACTCGTATTTACACAAAGACAAATATCCCCCGTGTAGCCTTAACATGCTGTAGGGGCAAGTGCTGTTAGCGAGCAGCACCTATGAAGGCCGGTACGGCACACGAGGGGGTGGGTGGCCAGCACCACGCCCGGCCGCCTTTGTCTCCCCAGTGGCGATGTTTACACACCGCACCAGGTACTAATTTGAGGCTGAGTCTACCTAGGGGAGGCCCAGGTCCGGTTCAGATAATCATCGCTGGTGTTGGCCGTGAGCGGGAATCGAACTCGAGTCGCCGGGTTCGTAGCGCAGCGTTGCGCTAACTGCTGCACCACCGCTCCACACTCATATACACACACACTCATATATGCATACATATATACAGACACGAATAAATATACACTAATAGATTACAATTATTATACACACACCGATATATACACAATATGAAAACAAATATATATACACCAAAATATACATTCTAATATATTAAAACTAATATATATACACATATATACACACACACATGCACACAACTACTCGCAAAGAACCACGCACTGATACAAATGTTGTGATAAAATAATCAGCCGACTGTGTTTGACAACCGCGTGTTACTTATTTAAATAATAAAAATGACAAAGATATAAGGGGACAGTGCCCGACCGCCTTTGTCTCCCCCAGTTCCACCACCAAACACTAACACACACGCACTAACACACGCACTAGCACACACGCACTAACACACACACTAACACACACGGACTAACACACACGCACTAACACACACGCACTAACACACACGCACTAACACACGCACTAGCACACACGCACTAACACACACACTAACACACACGGACTAACACACACGCACTAACACACACGCACTAACACACACGCACTAATACACACGGACTAACACACACGCACATATACACACACACTAACACACGCACACACTAACACACACACACACACTAACACACACTAACACACACGCACTAACATACACACTAACACACACACACTAACATACACACTAACACACACACACACACTAACACACACACTAACACACACACACACACTAACACACGCACTAACACACACTAACACACACGCACTAACACACACACTAACACACTAACACACACTAACACACACACTAACACACACACTAACACACACACACAAACACACACACTAACACACACGCACTAACACACGCACTAACACACACGGACTAACACACACGCACTAACGCACACGGACTAACACACACGCACTAACACACACGCACTAACACACACGCACTAATACACACGGACTAACACACACGCACTAATACACACACACTAACACACGCACACACTAACACACACACACACTAACACACACTAACACACACACACTAACATACACACTAACACACACACACTAACATACACACTAACACACACACACACTAACACACACACTAACACACACACACACTAACACACACGCACTAACACACACTAACACACACGCACTAAACACACCTAACACACTAACACACACTAACACACACACTAACACACACACTAACACACACACACACACAAACACACACACTAACACACACGCACTAATACACACTAACACACACGCACTAACACACACGCACTAACACACACGCACTAACACACACACTAACACACACGCACACTAACACACGCACTAACACACACACTAACACACACGGACTAACACACACGTACTAACACACACGCACTAACACACACGCACTAATACACACGGACTAACACACACACACTAACACACGCACACACTAACACACACACACACACTAACACACACTAACACACACACACTAACATACACACTAACACACACACACTAACATACACACTAACACACACACACACACTAACACACACACTAACACACACACACACAAACACACACACTAACACACACGCACTAACACACACTAACACACACGCACTAACACACACGCACTAACACACACACTAACACACACACACTAACACACGCACTAACACACACACACTAACACACACACTAACACACACACTAACACACACACGAAATTAACACACACGCACTAACACACACACTAACACACGCACTAACACACGCACTAACACACACACTAACACACACTAACACACGCACTAACACACACACTAACACACACACACTAACACACACACTAACACACACACTAACACACACACTAACACACACACACACTAACACACACGCACTAACACACACACACTAACACACACACTAACACACACACTAACACACACACACTAACACACACGCACTAACACACACACTAACACACACACTAACACACACACACTAACACACACGCACTAACACACACACTAACACACACACTAACACACACACACTAACACACACGCACTAACACACACACTAACACACACACTAACACACACACACACTAACACACACACTAACACACACACACTAACACACACACTAACACACACACTAACACACACTAACACACACGCACTAACACAATCATAACTTGACCGCGTGCGTGACCCACGCATCCATTAGTTCCGCCGCCTCCTGAACGATCTCCTCCTCGTCTCCCATTGGCTGAGCTCCTCCCCCTCCTCCTCCTCCTCCCCCACCTCCCCCTCCTTCTCCACCTCATCCTCCACCTCCTCCTTCACCTCCATCTCTCCCACGTCCACCTCCTCCTTCACAACCTCCTCCCCCTCCACCTCATCTCCAGCACCACCACCTCCTCCTGCACCTCTTCCTCCACAACCTCCTCCTCCACCATCACCTCCACCTCCTCCCCCTCCTCTACCTCCTCCTCCTCCTCCTCCACCTCATCTCCAGCACCACCTCCCCCCCTCCTCCTCCTCCACCTCCTCCTCCACCACCTCATCTCCAGCACCACCTCCTCCCCCACCTCCTCCACCTCCTCCACCTTCTCCTCCTCCACCACCTCCTCCGCCTCATCTCCAGCACCACCACCTCCTCCCCCACCTCCTCCCCCTCCTCCACCATCACCTCCTCCACCTCCTCCACCTTTTACTCCACCTCCAGCACCACCACCTCCTCCTCCCCCACCTCCCCCACCTCCTCCACCCTCCTCCTCCCTCCTCCTCCCTCCTCCTCCACCCCCTCCTCCACCATCACCTCCTTCCCCTCCACCTCCTCCTCCACTACCACCTCCTCCTCCACCTCCACCTCCTCCACCTCCTCCTACTCCTCCACCTCCACCTCCTCCTACTCCACCTCCAGCACCACCTCTTCCCCCTCCTCCCCCTCCACCTCATCACCACCACCACCTCCTCCACCTCCTCCACCTCCACCGCACCTGACCCAGCCCATCCTTGTCGGACTATAGAGGATGGGAGGATGGTGATGGGGTGATTAGGGGGAGGTGCGAGGGGAGTGGAGGGTTGGGATTTCTCCCCCCCCCTCCTCCTCCCTCCCCCTCTCTCTGTAGGGTTATTTATTAATTTAGACACTCCTACTTACTAGTAGTATTATTGTTGTTGTTGGGCATCCAACTCGCCGTGCGCTAAGGCGGGGTGAGTGAGAGAGAGAGAGAGAAAGAGAGGAAGGGAGAGAGGGAGGGAGGGAGAGTTTGGTTTTTTTGTTGTTAAAAAATATTCGTCCATCTCAATCGCTGTCGCTCGCTCTCTCTCTCGCTCTCTCTCGCTCTCTCTCTCGCTCTCTCTCGCTCTCTCTCTCGCTCTCTCTGTGTGTTCGCCACAATTAATGACCATGAGTTCCTACTTGATGGAGACGACTTTCGTCGACCCGAAATTCCCTCCGTGCGAAGAATATTCCCAGGGCAGCTACATCTCCAGTCAGCACGGCGCGCCAGCCGCATTCATCGCCCGCAACGCGGCTCACGAGTCGCCTTCCTACTCGCCCGCTACTCACCACCACCACCACCACCCATCTCATCCTCACCACCATCACCATCACCACCACCTCCTCCACCACCACCACAATCAACACCGCACGCCGCAAGACACCCGCAACGCAGCCGTCGTTTATCCCACGAACAGCGCACGCTTCTCCGAACGAATCTTCGGCGGCTGCTTTGAAGACCCCACGGCGATCTCGACCCCAAACGCCACCACCGCCACCGCCACCACCACCAGCACCACCAGCAGTAGCAGTAGCACCACCAGCACCAACAACACGCCCGATGTTAGCCCGCTCGCTCGGCCAGCCTCAAGCCCCGAGACTCACGCCGCGGTCCCAGACTCCGACTCATCGAGTCCAGAGGTCGCTGTGACTTCAACCACGAAGCATCAGCAGAAGCAGCAGCTGCAGCAGCTGCAGCAGCAGCAACAGCAGCAGCAACAGCTGCAGCAGCCGCAGCAGCAGCAGCAGCATCCGCAGGTTTACCCGTGGATGAAGAAGCTACACGTTGGAGGTGAGTGGCTGGGGTGAGGGTTGGTGGTGCTGGTGGTGGTGGTGATGGAGGGTTAGAGTGGTGGCGCTGGTGGTGGTGGAGGGTGAGGGTTGGGGGTGGTGGAGGGTTAGGAATCGAGTGATGATGGTGCGGAGTTTGAACCGGTCCTGGGCCTCCCCTAGGTCGGCTCAGCCTCAAACTGGTGTGCGGTGCGTAAACATCGCCACTGGGGAGACAAAGGCGGCCAAGCGTCGGTGCTGGCCAACCCCACCCCATTCGTGTGCCGTTCCGGCCATCATAAGTGCTCGCTAACAGTGCTTGCCCCAACAGTCTGTTGAGGCTACACGGGGATCTTTGTCTTTGCTTTGGTGCGGAGTTTGGGATAGAGACGCACACAGACGCGGTACAAACAGAGACACAGAGACACACAGACACACACAGAGACACAGAGACGCACACAGAGACACAGAGACACAGAGACACGCACTGAGACAGGGACGCACAGAGACCCAGCGACACACAGAGACACGCGCGCACAGAGACACGCACAGAGACACACAGAGACACGCACAGAGACACAGAGACACGCACAGAGACACAGAGACGCACACAGAGACACAGAGACGCACACAGAGAACAGAGACGCACACAGAGACACAGAGACGCACAGAGACACACACAGAGACACACACAGAGACTCTCGCGTGAACAATGCACAACTCCCTCGTTGTTGTTGTGTTGTTGTTGTCTGTGTTGTTGTCTGTGTGTTGTTGTTGTCTGTGTTGTTGTTGTGGTGTTGTTGTTGTCTGTGTGTTGTTGTTGTCTGTGTTGTTGTTGTCTGTGCTGTTGTCTGTGTGTTGTTGTTGTCTGTGTTGTTGTTGTGGTGTTGTTGTTGTCTGTGTGTTGTTGTTGTCTGTGTTGTTGTCTGTGTGTTTTTGTTGTCTGTGTTGTTGTCTGTGTGTTGTTGTTGTCTGTGTTGTTGTTGTTGTCTGTGTTTGTGTTGTTGTTGTCTGTGTTGTTGTCTGTGTTGGTGTTGTTGTCTGTGTTGTTGTTTGTGTTGTTGTCTGTGTTGTTGTTGTCTATGTTGTTGTCTTCTTGTTGTCTGTGTTGTTGTCTGTGTTGGTGTTGTTGTCTGTGTTGTTATTTGTGTTGTTGTCTGTGTTGTTGTTGTCTGTGTTGTTGTTGTTTGTGTTGTTGTCTGTGTTGTTGTCTTCTTGTTGTCTGTGTTGTTGTCTGTGTTGGTGTTGTTGTCTGTGTTGTTGTTTGTGTTGTTGTCTGTGTTGTTGTTGTTGTCTGTGTTGTTGTTGTTTGTGTTGTTGTCTGTGTTGTTGTCTGTGTTGGTGTTGTTGTCTGTGTTGTTGTTTGTGTTGTTGTCTGTGTTGTTGTTGTTGTCTGTGTTGTTGTTTTTTGTGTTGTTGTCTATGTTGTCGTTGTCTGTGTTGTTGTTGTTGTCTGTGTTGTTGTTGTTTGTGTTGTTGTTGTCTATGTTGTTGTTGTTGTGTGAGAGCAGAGAGGTTGGCAGTCCCGTTCCTTCCTTCGTCACTCATTCATCAGATCATTCATCAGATCGCTCCTTCAGGCGTTCAGTCGATCACTCGCCCAGTTTACTCGCTCACGGATCGACTCACCCGCTCACCCGCTCACTCACTCACTCACCCACTCACTCACTCACCAACTCACTCGCTCACTCACCCACCCACTCACTCATTCACTCACCCACTCGCTCATGCGCTCACTTACCCACCCACCCGCTCACCCGCTCACTCACCCACTCGCTCACCCACTCACTCACCCGCTCACTCACTCACCCACTCACCCACTCGCTCATGCGCTCACCCGCTCACTTACCCACCCACTCGCTCACCCACTCACTCACCCGCTCACCCGCTCACTCGCTCGCCCACTCACTCGCTCACTCGCCCACTCACTCGCTCACTCACCCACCCACTCACTCAGCTCACCCAATCACCCACTCACTCACTCACTCACCCACTCACTCGCTCACCCGCTCGCTCACCTGCTCACACGCTCACTCACTCGTCCACTTACTCACTCAGTCACCCGCTCGCTCACCCACTCGCTCACCCACTCGCTCACCCACTCGCTCACCCACTCGCTCACCCACTCGCTCACCCACTCGCTCACCCACTCGCTCACCCACTCGCTCACCCCCTCGCTCACCCACTCGCTCACCCACTCGCTCACCCACTCGCTCACCCACTCATTCGTCCACTTACTCACTCACTCAGTCACTCGCTCACCCAGTCACCCGCTCGCTCACTCACTCGCCCACTTCTCACCCGCTCACTCACTCAACTCACTCACTCCACTCACTCATCCTCCAACTCTCGCCACTCAATCAAACCCTGCACGCATTTCCTCCTTCGCCAGCGGCCGACGACCTGTACGTATCCGGGTTCAACACCGGCAAGCGGGTTTCCAGTCCAGCGTCAAGTGCCGGGATACTTTCTTGCTGCTCTACCTTTGCTGCACGTGGCGATTTCGTGAATCGGGGTTATAGGGAGACATTGATCACACACACACACAGACACAAAGAAAGAGCTGCCCGTGTAGCCTGCGACTGATGTATTGGGACAAGTGCTGTTAGCGAGTAGCACCTATGAAGGCCTGCACGGCACGCGAGAAGGTGGCACACAGAAACATACACACATATACATACACATAGATACATACACACAATACATACACATATATACATACATATACACATACACACATATACATATACACAGATACACACATATACATACATATACACAGATACATACACACATATACATACACATATATACATACACACATACACACAGATACATACACATATATACACACATATACACATACACACGTATACACATATACACAGATACACACATATACATACATATACATACATATAAACATATACACACATATACATACACACATACATACACACATATACATACACATAGATACATACACATAAACACATACATACATATATTTCAGATACATACACACATATACATACACACACATATATTTCAGATACATACACACATATACATACAAACACACATATACACACACATATATACACATATATACACACATACATACACACGGATACATACATACACACACATACATACAAACACGCATATACATACACAGATACACATAAAATACACCGACACATATACATAAATACGTACACGCATGGGACACTAATTGTTATAACAACACTCCTACAACATCAGAGTTCAGCGCCACATTAAATACGCGCTACAATGACAATCGTTTAAAGCGATTTGAAGTTTTATTTTCAAAATGGAAATATGGTTTTGGGGGGGGGGGGGGGGGGTAGAGCTGTGTGACGTCATATTTGAGGGGGGGGGGGTTTAAAAATCGTCCAAAATCGCGTGACGTCATTTATGGACGGCCCCGCTGCCGTTGACCCCGCCCCGTTCCGCTGGTCGCGCCTGATGATGATGACACCGAATCTCCGTGCGTCGAGGCAGCGTTCATCATTTCGAGGGTTGTGTGTGTGGGGGGGGGGGGGGGTTGGTTTTTTAAATCCTTTATATTAAGTTCACTTGCTTGCTTGCTTAGGACCGTGCAAATCTTTCGGTCGTTTTTTATCCCACTTCCCGTGATCCAATCGAGCTGACATTTTTGCACACAGACTCGTTGTGTGTGACAATTTATTTTCGTGAAAAATTTATTTCCAAAATTTTACACTTTTTAGGGAAATTTTTTTCAAATATTTAATTACCAATTTCTTCATGCTGGCAGACAATCATCTGACCCATAGGTGGCAGCCATCTCAAGCCAGAGGACGAGAGGACTCTAGCCGCCACGCATATAAAGGATTTATAGTGAAAAACTTTGTTTTTACGGGTTAATTTTTCCATTCCCCACTTCATTTTTCAAACGTTTTCGGCAATAAACACACCGGGTAGCTATGTACGGCCCACCCCTAGTACATGCCAAACCATACATCATTATTGTTAGTTGTATGTTTTTATATTAGTACTAGTATTTTTTGTAGTATTTTAGTAGTATTTTTAGTAGTATTTTAGTCGTATTTTAGTGGTATGTTTTGTAGTATTTAGTAGTATTTTAGTAGTATTTTTAGTAGTATTTTAGTCGTATTTAGTGGTATTTTAGTAGTATTTTAGTAGTATTTTAGTAGTATTTTTAGTAGTATTTTTGTAGTATTTTAGTAATATTTTAGTAGTATTTGTGTAGTATTTTAGTAGTATTTTAGAAGTATTTTGAGTAGTTTTTAGTATTATTCTCGTAGTAAATTGAGAATTATTTTATTATGTTTTATTTTTATAATTTTATTATTTCCCTTCTACGTGACTTTGCCGAAAAAACCAAGAAGAAGATTTTTTTTAATTCAATGTACGCAACTTTCTAAAGTAACCAGCGGCGGCCTCGTTTAAAAAGTTGGCCACCCACGATGTCATCGTCAGCCAGCGGTTAATCGGAGAGGCAATTCTGATTGTAATCATCATCATAATTATTATTAATAAATAAATAAAACATTGCTTGTGGAGAGAAAAAATTCACCCGTAAAAACAAAGTTTTTCACTATAAATCCTTTGTATGCGTGTTCAATGGGCCACAACCCAGCCCACATTGGTCTTTGAAACGGGCGGCTAGAGTCCTCTCGTCCTCTGGCTTGAGATGGCTGCCACCTACGGATCAGATGATTGCCTGTCACCATTAAGCAATTGGTAATTAAATATTTAAAAAAATGTACCTAAAAAGTGTAAAATTTTGGGAAAAAATTTTTCACGAAAAGAAATTGTCACGCACAACGAGTCTGTGTGCAAAATGTCAGCTCGATTGGATCACGGGAAGTGGGTTGAAAAACAACCTAAAGATTTGCACGGTCGTAAGCGCCCAAGCAAGCAAGCAAGTGAACTTAATATAAAGGATTTAAAAATGGACCGCTGGTCGTATTTACGATGCTTAACGCATCGATTAGAATCACCATAAGCGATATTATTATTGTAGAACACAGCAATAGCTGCTATATAAATCACGCCACTCCATCAAATGATTAAACGTTTCACCCGTTCACGTGGGTACAGATCAGGCGAGCTAAGCTCCCGCATTAACCCTTTAGCCCTGAACAACTTTGATCCCTCTTCTCTGTCTCCCCGACAGACCTGTTTCTTCACCTGAGGACGGCTGCTTGCGTTGTGGTCGAAACGTCGTGAGAATTGTATTTTATTATGTTTTATTTTTATTATTTTATTATTTCCCTTCTACGTGACTTTACCGAAAGAACCAAGAAGATGAATCCCTGCAGTCACGAAAGCTTTAAATCTAAATTTAATTTAATTTTATTATGTTTTATTTTTAGTATTTTATTATTTCCCTTCTACGTGACTTTAACGAAAGAACCAAGAAGATGAATCCCTGCAGTCACGAAAGCTTAAAATCGAAATTTAATTTAATTTTATAATGTTTTATTTTTAGTATTTTATTATTTCCCTTCTACGTGACTTTAACGAAATAACAAAGAAGATGAATCCCTGCTGCAGTCACGAAAGCTTTAAATCGAAACTTTGATCCCGTGTATGGCGACGGTTTATTTCAACATTGCAAATTAATAATATGGAATAAGAAGAAGAATTATAATCTAACGTTTCGGGCAATGTCCCTTCCACAGAGACGCGGTACAGGGCGGGCTAGCAGACGATGTTGAATTCAGAGTCGAGTGTTACGTGCACAGTCGTGCTGTTTATTGCTGGCCGCTTTGGACGCTTTGAGAGGAGGGGGAGGTGGAGGGAGGAGGAGTGAGGGGTGGGGGGGCATCATCAGCAGCATCATCAGCAACATCATCAGCAGCATCATCATCAACAACATCAGCATCACCATCATCATCAGCATCATTATCGGCAGCATCAGCAGCATCATCATCAGCATCATCAACAACATCATCACCAGCATCACCAGCATCATCAGCAGCATCATCATCAACTACATCATCAGCAACATCATCACCAGCATCATCATCAGCAGCATCATCAACTACATCATCAGTAGCATCATCACCAGCATCATCACCAGCATCATCAACAACATCATCAGCATCATCATCATCACCATCACCAGCATCATCAGCAGCATCATCATCAACTACATCATCAGCAACATCATCACTAGCATCATCATCAGCAGTATCATCAACTACATCATCAGCATCATCATCACCATCACCAGCATCATCAGCAGCATCATCATCAACTACATCATCAGCAACATCATCACTAGCATCATCACCAGCATCATCAACAACATCATCAGCATCATCATCATCACCAGCATTATCATCACCAGCATCACCATCACCATCATCATCTCTCTCTCGGTCTCTCCACCTCTTCACCTCTCCATCCACGTCCCTTAACCCCTTTCTCACCCGCCTCCCTCCCGACACAAAAAAAAAATCTCCATTTGTCTCTCGCTCGCAGTCAACTCAAGCTGCAACAACAACAACAGCAGCAGCGGCAGCAGCAGCAGCAGCGAAGGAGCAGCAGGAGCAGGAGGAGGACCCAACGGGATCTGCGTCGGGGAATCGAAGCGTTCGCGCACCGCCTACACGCGCCTCCAGGTTCTCGAGCTCGAGAAGGAGTTCCACTTCAACCGCTACCTCACCAGGAGGCGGCGGATCGAGATCGCGCACGCGCTCGGCCTCACCGAGCGCCAGATCAAGATCTGGTTCCAGAACCGGCGCATGAAGTGGAAGAAAGACCACAAGCTGCCCAACACCAAGACGCGATCGGCCGCGACGGGCTCAATGTCGGCGGCGTCTGCGTCGAAGGCGACGGCGGCGGTGGTGGTGGTAGTTGCTGCTCATCAGCGAGTGGCTACTCACATGGGGGCCATTGCTGCGTCCATGTAAGGCGGGCGGGGGGGGGATCGTGGAGGATGCACACACACAAAGACAAAGGCCCCCCCGTATAGCCTGAACAGACTGTAGGGGCAAGTGCTGTTAGCGAGCACCTATGAAGGCCGGAACTGTACACGAGGGGGTGGGTGGCCAGCAACCACGCCCGACCGCCTTTGTCTCCCTAGCGGCGATGTTTACTACACACCGCACCAGGTACTCATTTAGGCTGAGTCGACCTAGGGGAGGCACAGGACCGGTTCATATAATCGTCACTGGTGTTGGCCGTGAGCGGGAATCGAACCCGGGTCACCAGGTTCATAGTGCAGCGTAGCGCTAACCGCTACACCACCGCTCCCCACACACACACGCACACACGCACACACACAAGCACACACACGCACACACACAGACGCGCCTGCAAGGATGGAGGGAGAAACACGAGGAGGGACGGACAGATGGACAGAGACTCGCGATGGCAAACGGACACGCACACACACACACACGTGGATTGATGTATACAGTCACACACTAATGGATACACACGCACACTGATGAAAGGATGTGACATACACACACACACGTGGATTGATGTACATACACAGACACACACACGGGTGGACACATACTGATGAAAGGATGTGACATACACGCACACACACACGTGGAGCCGATAGACAGACAGACATGTACGGGCAGACACACGCAGACGCTCAACAGAGAGACACAGGAAAAGTGGGGCCTTTAAATTTCGATTTAAAGCTTTCGTGACTGCAGGGATTCATCTTCTTGGTTCTTTCGGTAAAGTCACGTAGAAGGGAAGTAATAAAATAATAAAAATAAAACATAATAAAATAATTCTCACGACGTTTCGACCACAACGCAAGCAGCCGTCCTCAGGTGAAGACCATTCAGACGCTGTCTCCCCGACAGACCTGGTCTTCACCTGAGGACGGCTGCTTGCGTTGTGGCCGAAACGTCGTGAGAATTATTTTATTATGTTTTATTTGTATTATTTTATTACTTCCCTTCTACGTGACTTTACCGAAAGAACCAAGAAGAAAAAAAGCGGGGACGTTATTGAGAATAAGTTAATATCCGTGACAAAATCGTAATAATAAAATCCCGAACCATGACGATGATGGCGGTGGTGGTGGTGGTGGCGGCGATTATGATGATAAAGAGACGCCGTGCAGACGGACACAGCTGGCGTGAACACGCAGTGATGGTGATTGAGAGACACACAACACAATTTGTCTCGGCTGTAGCAATGAACACACCGATATACTGTGTACAAAGACAAAGATCCCCCGTGTAGCCTTAACAGGACTGTAGGGGCAAGTGCTGTTAGCGAGCACCTATGAAGGCCGGAACGGTACACGAAGCGGTGGGTGGCCAGCACCACGCCCGGCCGCCTTTGTCTCCCTAGCGGCGATGTTTACACACCGCACCAGGTACTCATTTGAGGCTGAGTCGACCTAGGGGAGGCGCAGGACCGGTTCAGATAATCGTCACTGGTGTTTGCTGTGTACGCGCACACACACACACAACACACACAAAGACAAAGATCCCCCGTGTAGCCTTAGCAGACTTTTGGGGGCAAGTGCTTCCAGCGAGTGGCAGCGCCTATGAAGGTCGGGAACGGGTGGAAAGCACCACGCCCGGCCGCCTTTGTCTCCCCAGTGCTGATGTTTAACACAACGCACCGGGTACTCATTTGGGGCCGAGTCCACCTAGCGGAGGCCCAGGACCACGTGACATTCGCCACTCGGTGTTGGTCGTCTTGAGTGGGAATTGAACTCCGGGTTCCGGATTAGTAGCGCGCTAACCACTGCGCCACCGCTCCGACACACAGACAAAGACCACCCGTATAGCCGTGACAGACTGTTGGGGCAAGTGCTGTTTAAGGATATACGGTCGGGGGGTGGGGGCGGGGTATTTGTCTTTGTGTGTCTATGTGAGTGTGTGCCAGGCTAGGTGCACCTTCATACATACACACACACACAAATGCACACTAAGAAACATACACACGTGCATACATAAATATGAAAAAGCGATACATTGGTATAGGTGTAGATACACAATAAACACATACACAAACACGTACACAACATCAACCAGGGTTCTATAAATAGTTTAAAGAATAAATATTTTAAAATCAAAGTGTTTTTTTTCGTGTTCAAATGAAGGCTTTACATCGTGTAGGTCAACACGCGCCCCAAAGACAAAGATCCCCCGTGTAGCCTGTAACAGACTGTAGGGGCAAGTGCTGTAGCACCTATGAAAGCCGGCACGACACACACACACAGAGACACACACAGAGACACACACAGAGAGACACGCACAGACACACACAGAGAGACACACACAGACAGAGACACACACGAACACAGAGAGACACACAGACACATAGAGACACACACAGACACACACACAGAGACACACACACACAGAGACACACACAGACACACACATAGACACACACAGACACACACATAGACACACACAGACACACACACACAGAGACACACACAGAGACACACACAGAGAGACACGCACAGACACACACAGAGAGACACACACAGACAGAGACACACACGAACACAGAGAGACACACAGAGAGACACACAGAAACACACACACAGACACACACACAGAGACACACACAGAGACACACACAGAGACACGCACACAGACACAGAGACACACAGAGAGACACACAGAAACACACACAGAGACACACACACAGACACACACACATACACACACAGAGACACACACACACAGTCATCATCAGCCAGTGTCAATCCACTGCTTGATCAAGGACTGTGAATGGAATGAACAATTGGCGCCCAATGATCGGACCCATCTCGCCTTCGCGCGCCCACCGCCTCGCGACGCGCCTGACGAAGGGGCATCGGCCGAAACGTTGGCCCGCATTGTACATCAGCCACCGTACGGGGCTATGGTTGCGTAGTCGTCTCCAGCTGGTATCGTTGGCAGTGCCTGCGGGCGTGACGACAGTCAGGGAAGTCGCCAGATAATCCTCACAACACTCATCTCTGCAAGAGGGTCATGCCCGGAACGTCGGACAACCTGCGGCTACCGGAGCCGCGTGCTGCCTCTTTGAGGTGCCGCTCCGTGATGTCGTTTCGTATTCAGAACCACCAACACCCACCACCACCACCAACACCACCCACCCAG